TTGCGGCAAGCTCCCGGCATTACCAATAGACCCATCACAATCTCAGTTCTCTCGGGAGCTGGATCTCGCGGATCCCAGCTGGTACAAACCGGGTTCCATTGATGTGTTGTTGGGGGCAGACGTATATTCGGCGATTGTCTGCAACCACATGGTGGACCACTCCGCAACACCCGCCATGGTTAAAACTATATTTGGGTGGGCTTTGCTGGGTCCGATTCAATCCATGTCGTTACCATCTATGCAGGCATTACATATCGCTCCAGCCCTCATTGAACGACGAAGTACAAAAATTTTGGTCCGTCGAAGAAGTCCCATTCAGGACAATTGTTGCACCATCTGACTCACAAGCTGAGGCAATCTTTAGACAGAGTATTTTTCGAGACCCGGGTGGTAGATTTGGCGTCGCGCTCCCATTTAAAACCGACGTAGTACCTAGTTTTGTAGACTCTAAAGCTATAGCAGATAGACGACTTCTTGCTCTTGAACGTCGTTTAAGTAAACAACCCGACATTCGAGCACTGTATTTGGACTTCATGCGTGATTATTTGACGTCCAATCACAGGTCTTTACTCACGGACGAATTCCCTGAGGGTGATTCGTTTTATATCCCTCATCATGGGATAATCAAACCCGAAGGGAATCTGAATAAGATTCGCGTAGTGTTCGACGCCAGTTGCAAGGCGTCTAATAATATTTCCTTAAACGACACAATTCTCATTGGCCCCAAACTGCAGGCAGACATTGCCCAATTATTGTTAGTTTTTCGAATGAAACCGGTTGCCTTTACCTGCGACATTCGTCAGATGTACAGACAAATCTTGATTGCTCCCGAACATCGACGTTTTCAATTAATCCGTTTTCGATTCGACGCGTCGGACCCAATCCAATCGTACCAGTTAAACACCGTTACGTATGGAGTTGCTTCTGCCCCTTTTTTGGCTATCCGGACCCTGCTGCACTTGGCAGACCTGGGCCACTTACAGTTCCCTTTGGCTTCCAAGGCATTGAGAGAAAATCTTTACGTCGACGATCTTGTCTGTTGTTCTGAGTCACTAGAAGAGGCAACGGAATTAAAGTCACAGTGAATTCAGTTATTGTCTTCGGCGTGTTTCGAGCTGAGAAAGTGGGCTAGCAATTGTGTGGAATTGTTGGAGGATATTCCCGAGGGCCACAAGCAGCTACAACCTTCCAATTTTGATAAGGACTTGCGAGTCGCCTTAAAGGTACTAGGGTTACAATGGGATGCTGCATGTGATAACTTTTCATTCTCCGTAAAACCGAATGATTTACCTTGCACAAAAAGGAACATTCTGTCGGAAATTGCTCGGATCTATGATCCTCTCGGATTCTTATGTCCTGTCTCGTTTTTGGCAAAATATATTATACAGTTGCTCTGGAAGGCCGGTGTTGATTGGGATCAAGAGGTTCCGATATCGATTAGTCAATTGTGGAATAATCTAAAAGAGCAACTTCCCACTCTATCATCTGTAAAGATACCACGCCACGTACCACTCGTTGTCACATCGGACTGTCAGTTACATGGGTTTTGTGACGCATCGGAAAGAGGATACGGTTGTGTAATTTACCTGAGAACAATTACACAGGGCATACCAACAATTCGGTTGTTGATTGCGAAATCCAAAGTCGCGCCTTTGAAATGTGTCTCCATTCCTAGGCTGGAGTTGTGTGGAGCAGTACTGCTGGCCAAATTGATTGATTTTGTTAAAAAGGCACTGGAAAGCACAGTGAATTTCAGTCGCATATTTGCCTGGACGGATTCGTCTATCGTGTTGTCGTGGATCCGTTCTTCACCTAGTCGTTGGAAGGTGTTTGTAGCCAATAGAGTTTCTTACATTCACGATCGAGTACTACCTAGTTGGTGGAGGCACGTACCTACTTCCGATAACCCCGCTGACGTAACATCACGCGGGCTCTTGCCGGAGGATTTTGTCTCAAGCTCCTTATGGTGGGCGGGCCCGTCATTCTTGAAACTTCGCGAACAGTACTGGCCTCAAGAATCACCTGTTGGGTCAGTCGACACAGACTTAGAAATTCGCAAGATCGAGCTATTTGTTGCTCAAACCAAAGAGCCTACTATTGGTGAAACGTTGGTCTGTCGGTTTTCCTCGCTTAGGAAAATACAAAGAATTGTTGCTTACTGTCGGAGAGCGGTGCGAAAGGAGAAAGGTTCTTCATTGTCGCTGACGGCGGCAGAACTCTTTGAGTCACTTTTGTACCTCATAAGCGAGGTTCAAAAAACTGTCTTTGCCCAAGAATTGTCAAGGCTTCAAAGAAGAGAGCCCTGTTCTAAAAGATTGTTAAATTTGTCACCTTTTGTGGACGAGAAGGGAATTTTACGCGTAGGTGGGCGGCTTCGTCATTCAACTTTGCCGTCGGCTTCTAAATTTCCGGCCGTACTTCCGAGCAAACATCACCTTACAGATTTGTTGATTCGTCAAATTCATGAAGATAATTTTCATTGTGGCATAAATACAACCATGTACTTATCTCGTCAAATTGTATGGATTCTGTCCCCTCGGCGTACAGTTCGACGTGTGCTGTCCTCTTGCGTTCGGTGTTTTAAAGCTCACCCTTTATCTGCACAGCCAAAAATGGGCGATCTACCCGCCATGCGAGTATCCGAGGCAAAACCCTTTAGTTGCGTTGGTGTAGATTACGGTGGACCCTTTTCAGTCTCGGTTGCTAGGATTAGAGGGGCATCTGTGATAAAGGCGTATTTGTGCTTATTCATCTGCTTCGCCACCAAGGCGGTACACTTGGAAGTGGCATCTAGTTTGTCCACGGATGCATTTATCGCGGCACTCCGTCGTTTTGTTAGTCGCCGTGGTCGATGTACACACATATTTAGTGATTGTGGGACCAATTTTTCCGGGGCAAATCGCGAGTTTGTAAAGACGATGAGAACAGCGGCCGAATCACAGTTGATTCAATGGACTTTTAATCCCCCCGCGGCACCTCACTTTGGAGGCATTTGGGAGAGTGGGATTAAGTCGGTTAAGACCCATCTATCTAGAGTAGTTGGCACCCAGATCATGTCTCTAGAAGAGTTCAACACATTGATAATCCAAATTGAGGCAATGCTCAACTCGCGTCCTCTCTGTAATATGAGCTCTGACCCAAACGATTTGGCTCCCTTAACCCCGGGTCATTTTCTTACCATGGAGCCACTCACATCGCCTCCAAACCCCGACCTATCTCATTTGAAAATTTCAAGGTTGTCTCGATGGCAACTAGTGCAACATATGCAACAAGTATTTTGGCGTAGGTGGAAAAACGAGTACCTTCATAGCTTGTATCAGCGCGGCAAATGGGCAGTCTCCAAGCATATAGACAATGTCGAAGTAGGTACGGTAGTCCTCATCAAGGACGATAATACGCCTCCCTTACAATGGAGGATGGGTCGCATCGTGGAGTTATTCCCTGGAACTGACTATATCGTTCGCGTTGCCACGGTTAAAACCAGTCACGGGACGATGAAACGGCCCCTTGTCAAATTATGTCCGTTGCCCAACCAATAAAACCAATGTCGAATCTTTAAAACCTGTTGTATATATATTAGTTTTAGTTGTTCTTCTTTTTTTTGTCTTTTTCTTCCTTTCTGCTTAGTTAATTTTAGTATTTGTAGCTCATTGCAAGCGTAACTTGTAAATAAAATACTGGATCCGTATTTTGGTGGGCGGTATGTTTCGTACATATGTTTATGGTTGCGAAAGATAGGCAAGCAGCAATTCCTGTCCACCCCCTTATTGCCTACCCTTAACTACCACCCGCCTATAATCCCCACCCACACAAGAAAGCCGCCCTCTGGGAGACGAAAATTTAAAAACATTTGTAACGAATTTTCATCGTTGTTCGTTAACCGTCGAAGTGAGAACATCTCGTGGCGGCCCGTTGTTATTGTTGTTTGTTGTTTCATTTTCGTTGCTGCAAGAGGCCCCAGCGCCTTTTCTTCGTATCTACAAAAGGCCCAGGTGCCTTCAATCGAGAGAAATCGTCGAGGAAGATCGTTGCAATCAGGGTGAGTCCGTTGATCTTCCTTATATTGTTGTTTTGCTTATATGACTTGCGTCGTAAACACTAACGTTTGAGAGAGAACGGTGGTTACTTACAACTCAGAGATCCTATTAGATACCTATGTATATTTTGTTTATTTATATACGGCTTCGATTTTCTGTCTAATTAGTCACAAAAGCGTTTCATTTAATTGGTATTATTTGTTCAACATTCTCGTGATAAAAAAGAAAAAACCCTATACACAAAACTGATCCATACTTCTACAATATGATTATGGCCTTTGAGGTTTAAGGTCGCAGATATGAATTTTATAGAAGACATTCCCTTATATCTGAGAACAATCTACCGTTTCTGCGGAATCATTCAGTTCACTTACGAAGATTCTTCCAGCCGCTGTTCACAAATTTTTTCTCGACTCTGGCCCATCCCACTTTTTCTCTTCTTTTGTTACTCTTGTGTCTTATGGTTTCGTCACCTCATAGTTGTAATAAATTTACTGAATTTAAACATATTACAAGTTGAAGTGATGATGACAATTTGGGCTGCCTTTACCGAAATAACCTGTATGGTGGTATTCACTTTGAGAAGCCAAAAACTGAAAATGTTGCTTTTGAAGTTGGACGAATTCAGAAACAAGTTTCCATTTGTAGAAAACAATAAACCCGAAAGAGATTGGCTGGAAATTTTGGTTCTTGTTATAACTTTTCTGAATTTTAGCGTTAACCCATTACAAGTGTGGGGGACAAGTTATCTGATTATAGCGTTTTGCGTAATACCACCAGTGACGTGTGTCTTGAATCATGTGTTTTTAGGCGACGTGTTAAAACTCTTTCGTCTTCAGTTTAAAATCATCAATCAACAGTTGCAAAAAAAAATCAGTCGTGCTAATGATGGTTTTCCGTTAAATAAAACTGAAAACTTCAAACAGTTAGAAGAATTATCATTTTTTCATTACAACTTAGTTCGTTTGGTTCTTGAAATCAATAGTCAGTTTGATGTCACCACACTAATATCTATGGTGTTGTGGTTTGGGAATTTCATCACTACCTTATACACTCTCATACTGATGCTGAACGCATCGCTCCAGTTGCGATTTATGTTCTCCTTATGGTGTAATGTTTTTTGCTATTTATTGTGGCTACTTATGATAGTTTGTATCTATAGTCGCACCCAAGCCGAGGTAAATTTCCATTTGTTTTTTTTTTTTTTTAATTTGTATAAGATTTTTTCAGGCTAACAAAACCGCTACATACATCCATGAAATCTGGAATCAACATTCTCAAAAGAAAGATCTAAACGAAGAATTGCGCCACTTGCAGTTGATTGCGTGTAGATTCTTAAACACTAAGTTGATTTTCAATGCGAAGAATTTCTTTAGATTGGACGAAACTTTTTTTCATGTGGTATGTATTAGCTATTCTCTAAGTTTGAGGTTTTTTCGTATTTTAATCTTGTTTCAGATAATAACTGCAGTTGTGACCTATTTAATAATTTTGATACAGTTTCGCACCTAGATTCATTATTTCAAGTAATCTTTCAAAAGAATCGGATAACCTTAGAAGCAGAGATGCAAGTTTGTAAATTTTTCTACAAAATACAGTTGATGTATTCAAATAGTAAAACTCCACACGTTAATGACTAGACGATTAGAATTTTTTTAAATAAGTTTACCGTTCCAAGAGCTTTATCATTTAACCAGTATTTAGGAAATGATGAATGAATTTTCATTAAATTATAAAGGCTAATGAACATCAGTTATTTTCCAATACAAACCACTCCACATTTGTAAAATTAGTAGTTAATTTACCGTTAAAGCATGCATTTGTTACAATATACTCCTACTCTTTTCGAATACGTCTATAAATTAATAGGCATCGTTCAATTTTCTACGGACTCGACGAATTCTTCAAAAAAATGCCAGTTCTTGTGGTACCTACCATTTTACGCTTCTTTCATTTATATTTCTGTTTACTATGGAATTGTGTCTCAACCTCCTGTCACCTATTTCGACATCTTAGACACAATTTCCTTCGTCGTAAATATAATATCTACGATAATTAGTTTTATATGTTTTTGTTTAAGAACAAATAATTTACGAATTTTACTCACTGAACTTAACAACATCATTGGTTTTCATACAATTTCCAAAAATATGTATAAGGATTGGTTCAAGATTTTCTTAGTGACATCGCTTTTTATGGCTTTTGCATTTATTCCATTTTTGAATTACTCGCCAGTACTATTAATATTTCATCTCTTTCCGAATGTAATAAACTCTTTCGACATTTTTTTTTTAAACGACATTATGACAGTCATCATCCACGGCTTTGGAAATGTTAATTATCGAATAACGCGCCAAATAGACGATATGAATTTTTGCAAAAGAACCTTCCCAATAAAATCAAAAACTGTAATGATTTTAAAACAGGAATCTCTTCGATTTAACGTCCAAGTAATCGAAGACTTGTCTTACGTTCATTACAAACTAAGAAACTTAGCACTTGAAGTTTGTAAAAATTTCGAAAATACTATCGCCGTATATTTGGTGGTGCTCTTTCAGAACATGTTAGAATATGGATATTTTGTCGTATTAATTATGGCCCGTGCGAAGCTAGATAATATTATTTTCTGGATAACTACCTTATTCATACATTTGTTTTGTTGGTTGCTGGCAGTGGTACACATTTTTACTCGAGTAGAAAAAGAAGCTAATAGAACGGTAACATTGGTTCATGATATGTGGAATGCTTGTGTGAAAAATGATGTCAATAAGAAACTTTATCTTCAGTTGGTGTCGGTTAGACTACTTAGTACTAACCTCCACTTTACTTTAAAAGGAATGTTGAAGTTAAATTGGACATTGTGTCACACGGTAAGTAAGTAAAAAAATTCTAATTGCTATCTTGACACGCTGTTTTAGGTGTTAGCAGCCGTTGCTACTTATATCGTGATCATGATACAATTGCATGTTTGAAGTGTTATTGGATCCAGGGTACTGACACTTTGTTTTCTTCTATTAAAATACCAAACATTTTCATGGACCCGTTATTGAAATTAATTTTGAAAGTACATTAATTTGTAATGTTGTTATTTTGATGTAAAATGAAGCCATGCAAAGGTTTCAATTTTTCACCTAATTTGTAATTGTGATTTTTCATTTAATTACTCAGTAATATTTGTTCGACATACAACTCATCAAAGAAATTAAACCATGGAATTACCCTAATCATGATCGATACATCCACAATATAACTGCGACTTTCATGGTACAAGGTTGTAACATGTGTCTCGTAGAAGACATTCCTATATGTCTGAGAACAATTTATCGCCTCTGCGGGATCATTCAGTTCACTTGCAGACCCTCCCCAAAAGTCTATTCACGAATTATTTTTCGCCTTTGTTTTGTACCGTTCTATTTATTCTATTGTTGCTGTTCCGTAATGTGGTTTACGTTTATCGCATCTCTAATAATAATAAACAGAGAATTCATGAAAATCGAAGTGCTAATGATAATTTGGGCGACTTTCACCCAAATAACGTCTCTACTAGTATTCATTTTGAGAAACCCCAAACTCAAAATGTTGCTTTTCAAGTTGGCCGAATTTCAAAACCAGTTTCCACTTGTAGAAAAAAAGAAATCGGGAAAAAACTGGCTTAGAATCTTAATTTTTGCTACAACTCTTTTATGTTTCTGCTTGATACCACCAAACGTGTACACGTCTTGGTGGGGCATTTATCCTATTCTAACTTTTTATTTCTTACCACAAGTAACGAGTTTTTTGAACCACATGTTTTTAGATAACGTGTTAGAAGTTTTTTGTCTTCACTTTAGAGACATCAATCGGCGATTGAAACAAGAAGTTAGTCGCGTAAGCGTCGCTTTAACCTTAAGCCAAACAGTAAAGTTTAAACAATTGGAAGAACTGTCGTTTCTTCATTATAACTTAGTTCATTTGGTTCTCGCAATTAATAATCTTTTTGATGTGACTACACTAGCATCCATGGTGTTATGGTTCGGAAATATCATCAGTGTCCTGTACAGTTTGATAGAGTCGTTTCTTAAAGATAACTTTCTACCCCTACAAATTCGTTTCTACTTATTTTGTAACGTGATTAATTATTTATTGTGGTTGATTATTGTAGTTCGCATGTATAGTCGCACTCAAAGAGAAGTAAAGTACCAGTTAAGATATTGTTCACTCTGACACGATTTCTTTAGGCAAACGAAACTTCTGGATATATTCACCAAATTTGGAATCAACATTTTCAGAAGAAAAATTTAAGTGAAAAAACGCGCCACTTGCAGTTGATTTCATGCAGATTGTTGAACACCAAGTTGATTTTCAACGCTAGAGGTTTTTTTAGACTGGACGAAACTTTTTTTCATATAGTGAGTATATAAAATTTTTAATTTTCACTCAAAGTTTGTTCCTAGATGATTGTTGCCGTTATGACGTATTTGGTGATTTTGATACAGTTCCGTATTTAACTCTCCGATTTAATTAAGTGACAAATAGGTATTCAACTATCTGTTTCAAAAATGAAATAAAATTTATATAACATTAATATTAGCCTTATCTGTTCACATTTATCAACGTCGACTGGTATGAACGAAAGAAGTTGCAAAAAGTTGTCTCAAAGTTTGATAAAATTGTATATATTTTTTTTTTTCATTAAATCGAAGGTTTAATACTTGTCTCAGACACAGCATTACAAGAACACTTTCGCGAATTATTTCCCTTGTTTCCATGCTTATACCTCTTGTGCTGTTCTTCCGGACATATCCCAACTTACCCAATAAGTAGTATCTTTCATCAAAACAACTTTCGCGGCAATTTTGAAATTAAATTTACTTTTCTATAACCCAATCGTCTAATTATTGTGTATTTAGTTTTGTCACACACCTGCTAGAAAAATAAAGGCAAAATTCATCATATGAGCTTACATTAATAAACGTTTCAATTATGTTTTTTTTTTAGTTTGGAAATATGTATTGTCAATTGGAAGTAGGTACCTAATTTAGCCTAAAATATGTTTATTTTAGTGGTTGTGCTATTTAGGTATTATTCCAGTACTGTACTATATCTAGATTAAAAACATTAGTGAGCGTGAAAATCAATAACGACTAGTTTCCCTTGGTCCTTTGTTACGATGATGTGTTTACTCGATAATACGCCTATATTTTTAAAGTGTGCCTATAAACTCCTGGGAATTGTTCAATTTTCGTATGACACTAAACGAAAGTCTGCAATCTATAACCGTATATTTTGTCTGCCGTTTTATTTCTGCCTCTTGTACTTATGTATGCGCTTCAACTTGAATACATTTCGGCAAGAAACTGTATTTCACTTTATCGATATCATAACAAATAGCTTGAACATAGTATATATTTTCGCCCACTTCATTTTTTTCTATATAAGAAGTGATTCTGTGAGGAATCATTTGACAAAAGTAGTGCAAATCCAAATTTCTCCCAACCCAATCGTTAGCAGAAGGCCACAATGGAAAAGAAATATTTTACTCGGACTTTTTATAATGAATTTCTCGTTCATTCCGTTTATACGAGTAGATCTAGGGACAGTGCTGTACCTCTACTACTCCTTTGACTTTATTTCCACTTTCGAATTTCTTTTCTTAGATGATCTTCTGGATGTTGTTCTGCACAAACTTCAACTAATCAATCAACACTTTCTGCGTCAAAGCGATTCAGTCGATTTTCTGCAAATTTTCCCCTTGAGCAAAACTGACAAAATTAAATTTCTCCAAGAAGAAGAAATCATTTTTCGAATAGAACAAATGCAAGCATTCTCTGATTTTCATTACGATTTAGTGAATTTATCACAAGAGCTGGTTAAAAATTTTGACGTTACTTTGATCGTGAGCTTGATCGTCTGGTTTGAAACTGCTATAGAAACAGCTTACTATGTGGCATATGTGAGTCTTCATGGCTCAGATTATTACATATTCGTGTACGGGGTCAACTTTATTTTTTTGGTTTTGCAGTTGTACAAATTTTTCTTTTTGATATGGATTTTCAGTAAAGTCGAACAGGAATCGAACAAAACCGCTACGTTTGTTCATGAGGTATGGAATAAGTATGCAATGAGCGAGAAAATTGATAACAGAGTGAGATATCTGGAAGTGGTTTCTGTGAAACTTCTTAATACGAAGTTACAGTTTACGGTGATGGGGTTTTTCAATCTAAATAGAGAGTTTTGTCACATGGTAAGAGTTTTAAAGGTTTAAACAATGTCTAAGAAAATGTTTGTAGATGATAGCAGCGGTTACTACCTACGTGGTTATCTTAATACAGTTTCGGTTTTAGAAAGGAAATGCCGGATATTGATTTTCTCAAAATAAAAAGCAGAAGAACAGACAAAGTTTTAGATTTTTTAAGACATTTTTTCGACCATAGCACGTCCTATTTGTATTTCTCTTTAACAATAATTGAAATTTGTTTGCATGTATATTTTATTCACGATCAATAGTACATTACGTGGAAAAGCTCTCTAATGATAATAGTAAAAAGTGGATGTACTTATCCCTCATTAAAATGTCCTTGCTCGAAAATACACCTACTTATTTAAAATACACCTACAAATTGTTGGGAATTGTACAATTTTCCTATAATTCTTTACCTTCATCGAACATTATTCATCGCCTGTGTTGTCTTCCTTTTTATTTGTATATTGTTTACCTCATTGTACTTTACAACGTAGCGATATTAAAGAAAGACAGTGTAGATGGTCTCATCGACAGAATCGTCAATTATAACAACATACTTTTTTTTGGCATTTATTTCTTTTGTTGCATTAGACGGTGTAATAAGTTGAAATTTCTACTCATCAGAGTAAAAAAAATTGAAATTCCCTTCGTGTCGCCGATTCTATCCCCGAAGTGGTTAAAATGGAACGTGATAAGCCTTTTAGTTGTATTTTTAGTGAACACCCCTTTCATACCATTCATGCTAAACACACCACAATCCGTAATCTACCTCTACTACGCCCCTGTATTCCTAGCTTCTTTTGAGATTTTCTTTCTGAACGACCTCCTAGATACTTTTTTCCAAAAATTCAAACTAATCAACCAGCAGCTGCATCGTGAAATTTTCTCAGTCAGTCTCTTCGAACTCTTCCCTCTAACCAAAATCGAGAAAATCAACGCACTTGAAGCCGAAGAAACAAAATTTAGAATGGAGCAGATTCAATCTTTGTCGCACTATCACTACGATCTAGTCAAGCTGTCGCAAAAAATGGCCAAACATTTTGAAATAACTCTAATAACAGCGTTGATATTATGGTTCGAGACTGTGATAGAAACGGCTTACTACATTGTGTACATGATTCTTCATGGTAAACCCAATCTGGTTATCTATGGTGTTAACTTTGCATACATTTCGGTTGAATTCTGGTGGTTTTTTTGTCTAATTTGGAGTTTTAGCCGTGTTGCGGATGAGGCTAATAAAACGGGTACGTTTGTACATGATGTGTGGAACAAGTACGCGGTTGCTGGGAGAACTGATAAGAGGATAAGATATCTTCAGCTGTTTTCTGTGAGACTGCTGAATACAAGACTGCAGTTTACGGCAATGGATTTTTTTAATTTTGACTGGACTTTCGGCCATATGGTAAGAAATCCTTTTTTTTGAAAAGAAGAAACTCATGTTGGGGTTTTAGGTGATAGCAGCTGTTACTACTTACGTTGTGATTCTTGTACAGTTTCGTTTTTAGAATACTGTGTGTAAGAGTGTAAAATACAAACTGTAAATATAGACACCAGTGAAGAATTCAGTTACTTCTTTTTCACAAATAATTCGACATTGTACATAGCAATACATTTTAATTGTAATTACACGAATTTTCTTTATAAACATATTTTTTTTTGGCAACAATTTTAGTCGGCATAACTATATTATTTGTAAGATGTACAACGTAACGCTTTGTTATTACTGTGTTAAATTAATATTTTAAATCGATTTATACATTTAATTCTTCTACTATCCTCTCCAAGAAATTTAAAAAAATCAGAGCACTTAAACTCAACTGTAACTGAAATACGATCACAATTATACCTTAAAGAATAATTTTTAATAAATATTTAATAACAATTTATCAAAACATGGGAACGTAAGCGTACATAACAGCTTGATTTCTCAATTTTTATTAGGCACAAATTAATAAAAGAAAAAAACATAAAAATTTTATATACATGTATGCAACCAACTATACACAAGAGATTATCGGTCAGTTTGGTATAGACATGTGTGATCTGGTGAAAACGATTTTAACAAAATAATTTGCTGTGTGCAAAACACTATAACTGGAAAATTAGACACTTCATTACAAGAAGAAGTCGGTAAGGTATTATTTTCAATTATTAACCTGCTTTAAAAAGTTGTTGATTATTTTGAGGTTATGTTAATTTGAATTTTCATGTAATTGCGAAGACAAAGTATGCATTTATCTATAGTGTGTTTTCATGGTAGTAGAGTGTGATGTATTTTAATGAAATTTCCAAATCAATAGAAATTATGGGTATTGCGGTGTTGGTAAAATCGGCGGGAAAATTTATCACAGACATAGGAAGGAGCGTAGACTAAGACCCAGTTTATACGAGCTCAATTAAATATTTGATTGCGATTCAATTTTTACCACGGGATTGAAGACCATGTGACCGACTCTACGCCAATCAGACGCCGCTAAAGGCCTCGCTAAACGCGTGATTAACTTAATCTCAATTAAAATATTGTATAAACCGACCCTTAAGTGTGGAAACAAGTTGTTAAATTTTGTTGGAATGACAACTATTTGATGTAATGTGATCATTGTGTTATGTTGCCTTGAGGTTTTTATTCGAAGACAAAAATCAAACCCCAATTTAAAGGATGTACAATTTTTGAAACATCTGTCAATAAAATACTAAAATTTGAACTGAATCAATATTACAACATAGGTAGCAAGAGCTGCAACCACAGTATGCATCAAATTCCAATCCAAAGGCACGAAATCCTTCGCCGTAAATTTTACTTTAGTACCTGCACATCTAATAGCAATCAGCTCCAGATGTCGAATGTATATACACAGGTCATTGTTCGTCGTGTACTTATTCCACATGTCGTGTATGTAACCGGACACGGCGTTAGCCTACAATAAAAATTATATTTTATCTTTAAAATGTGCTTTAATTTTAAAACCTCCTCTTCTGAGTCGCTCCAAAGTTTGATCAACACGTAAAGCCAAGAAATCTGAGAACCAAGCCAGATGATGTTAAAGACAAAGAATTTGAATGATTCAAAATTGTTGCTGTAATTTGCGTATATGTATAGAGTGAAGTAGATGCCGTCGATCGCTGAACACACCAAAGTAGCCATTCCTGTTAAAAATGTTACTCCGAAGATATAATTTGCTTGTTTTGCCAAACCCACAAGATCGTAATGTTGGTGGGAGATTTTTTGTAATCTACAAATTGACTGCCGAGTGAGGTGCTCTTGTTCCATTTGCAAAAGCTTGTTCACTGAGCGAAATTTTTCCTGAAGGGTACTTATAACATCCCCTACAAACACTAGCTCAAAGACGTTGGCTACTATTGGAATATTGATAGATAGCTGAAGAGGAACTGAAAGCCCTAGAATTTGGCTGCATGCGAACATTAGGTTGACTGTGGTGAGCAACACGAAGTATAATTTCAAATAGTTGCTGAGTTGTTTGGTGGGTCCTTCGGTGGTGTAGATCTTGAATAAAAGGAGTTTCAGTTGGGGTGTTCGTTTGTAGAAAACACAAAAGTTGGTTATCATACTGATAACAGACGTAGCAATCGTGATAGAGTCCGCGTAAACGAAAAAAATGTTGTTGGAACCATGATAGTTAAAAACGTCGCGAAAGACCGTGATGTAAATAATTATGTAGAAATAGAAGAGGTAACAGGGAAGGGACCAGAGGTGAGAGGTCCAAGAGGTAGTTTTTTCCGAATACTGAATTATTCCGAAAACTCTGTAGATGTGGTAAAAGTTCTGTGATATCGGTAACTGCGACCGATGGAGTTCAAGCATATTAGGAAACGACTTTTGGATCGAAAAGTGTTTTTCCGTTTTAGGTTACTTCGTTTGACTTCTAAACACTTTCGTAAATTACTGGTTGATCATTACTTAATGGATTGAGGTGTGTTGTTTCGTTTTGCGTATAAAGAAATCAATAGCATGAATGAAGAAGCCGGTAGATAAAATTGTCGAGTGATGATCACTAGTCAAAATTAAGGATTCAAGAAAGCGCCAAAGAGATATTGAAGATAAATTGGTTGTAAACGGCTAGAGTTAAGGATGACCTTGTTTGTCAGCGATAATAGTCATTTAAGTTTAATTAATTTTAATTAATTGTGGTCTTGTTGATCGAGTTAATGCGTTGCTTATTATTGTTTTTTTTATTAAACACTCAAGTTTCTGTATTGGTTAAGGATTTTTAAAAAGACGAGAATTTAACCATTGTTGTATACCTAGTACATAGACTAGAAAATGGCACATAACATAAATTGATCCAAATTCAAGGTTTCATAAATTAAGGTTATTGTTTCTTTTAATTGGGGTAATAATTTTGTTAGTGCCTATTTTCTATTCGAGTAAACATCAATGGAAATTGTAATCATGAAAAGTAAATAAACAATTTTTAAAGTCAAAAGTCATACTTCTATTAATATTAAAATTATTATTATTGTTAAAATATATTTATATGTTCTAATTTAATTAAAACTCCTGTAGTTGAGTCAAAACCTTGGTTAAAAGGTTATCAGAATTAAATTTTGAATTGTACTAATATTATCACATATGTTGCAACAGCTGCCACAATCTACAACAAAATATGAATAACTTTTTCGGAAATGGAAACAAAACTTGCCGTATATAAAAAATTACAGTTCAAGGGGAAGAATCCTTGCACTGATAAATCTAGCTTAGTATTAAGGAGTTTTAAAACAATGAGCTGAAGATGTCGTGTCTCTTGATTAACTCTGTTCGTCGACACAAGTATATTCCATATATTGTGAACGCAAATAGCGGTTTTATTGGCCTACAAATTCAAAATGTCAATCGAAGAAAAGTGTTTGCAAACTTGCCTCGTTTTGAACCTTGGTCCAAATAAAAATTTGGAAAAAGATCCACGTCCATTGGAAAATAAGTAGCGGAAACTGAATCACGTAATATGCATATACCTGATCTGATAAACGCAGACTTAAGTATGCTACGTAGTAGATTTTATTGATGACCAAAGCGAACCATGCCGCAGTATTCCATAGAGTGGTAGTACCGAAAATGCGGTTACTTTCATGCACCAGGTGAACTAGGTGGTAGTGAAGGTGGGACATTTTTTCTAAAGTTGTGATTATTTGGTTTGATTCTTTTTCGGGAATGTTGGTTTTGGACAAACGTCTACGTGCTTCTACTTCTGTCTTCTTGTTTTTGCACAAGCAGTTAATTACTTTAAATTTTTGACGAAGATCTTCCAAAATGAAACTGAGGAATACGTTATCTAAACTGCTGACTAGTAGAGGAAGATAAAAGAACATTTGGTACCCAAAGTCTGTAAGAAATCCTGTGCTGCTAATCAGAATTAAATTGAAAAAGGCTAAGAAGACTAAGACGAGGTAATGAGAATGTTCGGTTAGCTTGTTGCGTGTTTTTATCGGAATTTTTGTGATTTTGTCAATTAAAGCAACTAAATCTATGTTTCTTTTGTAATATAGTACCAAATTAGTACCCATCGATATAAAAACGATGATTTTGGAAGCGTCGTCTACGTATTGGCTAATGTTAGTAAATTCTATGTACACATTGACGTCGAAAGTGCAAAGTACTTTAATTATGTTTCCAAAATAGTAGCACCAGAAGGGAATGGGTACGATTTTGGCAACGACTTTCCACTTCGTATCAATTTGTAAAATACCAAACGCCCGAAAAACACATTGTAACCAGAAAGGTACGTAGTTTGTTAACAACATTCTTACAATGATTGCGATAATACGTTTGTTTATATTATTGATTGCTGATTCAGTTAATTAGATGTATTATTCGGTTGTTCAGTAAAGACATAGATTTAGAGTGCTTTGATGGAATTAGTGGCTCCTCCCCATTCCAAGTGAAATGAAGTTAAACACCTGTTTAAGCCATTGATTGTATTTGAAAAGTACACTTTAAGAAGTGCATTAATCAGTTGGTGAGTGTCAGTAAAAAACAATGTTTTTTTCAGTTTAATAAGCAACTTTTTTGTAGAATGATATAACAGCAGTGTTTTTAATAAAATCTTGAATATTTTCTATTTTTACTACTTTCGATGCAACTAAATTGAAGTAATGGAGAAGTGATGGGTATTTTTTTTAGTTTTATCGTATCATTTGATGTCAAATTATTAGATTAGGAGTTAAATGTGTTTAGTAAAGCTTCCTTGATTCCTAGTATGATGAAAATGATTGTAGTGTTATATGTTGTATGTAAATAATAAAAAATATTGATTCTAGAAACTAATGAAACGACAAGAAAATGGAAAAGTAGCAGTTCTTAAAAGTGTACTTATAATAATTGTACATACTCTCATTTCATCGACTCATTTCTAATCAATAAAATGTCCGATTATCTACGTATCTTATAGAAATGTTATTAACTTACAATGGTATTATATAAAAACTTAATAATTTTTCTCATTATTGTCGTAATTTGAATTATTTAGACAGTGATCTGACGTCGTGGACAACAAATGTTTGTATCATCTTGTTTTGTGTCCGAGAATACGTATATTGAAATGTTTCGTACGTGTTTGAAGCGTTGGCGAAGTTTATCAAAAATGAAATTTGAAAATTTAGAATCGTTAAACGAACATATACTCAAAATTTTGAATAATAAATTCATTAAGAGATGGGTTGTATTTATATTACTTTTTCATGTTGCTATTTTTGGTTTCCAAACATACGTAATGTATTGCAATTATAATTTGAAATTTGTCGTTAAAATGTTTCCTTCGTATTGTATAACATTCGACGTAAATAGCTGTCCATAGAACCAGTCATTAATGTTAACAGTGCTAGTTCCAGATTATTTGTGTTTTGGCGGCAACCGTGAATTTAAAAAATATGCAAGAATCTGACAGTGTTTTGAAAAACATCTCTTGGCCGCTAACAACTCGTGAAAAGTCTTCGAACACATTTAAAATGTTTTCAGTGCACATTGTCATTGTTTTGGTGATGTATTTACTGCTATTTCCTGCGGCGCTTCTGTATAGAAGTCAATACGAAAACGATGTGCTGCTGGTGAGCTCTTTACTAGAACAAGTCCTTCCGAGTCCTTGGGGAAGACTACTGCGATTCGTGTTTTGGGCAACTTTACTATTTACAACAACCTGTGCCGTTGCATTCTTTATAATGATACACACGACAATTTTAAAAATGAAGATACAATTCTTCATTCTGAACCAGGAATTTTCGACGATAGCTAAATCGAGTGCGAATTTGAAATTGTATGACTGCGATGACTACCAGAAAAATATCGGCGCAAAACTTAACAGATTCACCAAACAACACGTTTGCTTGTCGAGGTTTGTAAATGCCCGATATTGACTTTCTTTGATGTTGGGTTTCAGTTTTTTGCGAGAACTGTTGACCAGGTGTACGGAATGGGTTCAGTTCGTTGCGTTGGGGTATCTTATATCTAACATATCCATAATTTTCGTGTTTTTGAAAGTTGTCGTTAAGAAACTCCAGTACAACTTTACTATTTCTGTTCATTTTTAGAACCTAACAATGAGTGATGATGGGGTATTTTTTTGTACACTTGTTAGTTTCGCTGTTGGGAATGTGTATTTAACGTTTCTGGGTATTTTTTGGGGCGAAGAGTTACAAAAAATGGTAATATTCGGTCGTATTTTAAAAATGTTGAAGTTGATTTTTAGACGAATGGTACTTTCGATGTGATATGCGGATGGTCGTGGTACTTGTTGAACCGTAGGAATAAGAAAACTTTGATGCTAATAATGACCAATTGTAAGCAAGGATTAACGGCAAAAATGTACGGTGTTGGACCACTTGGTTACAGTACTTTACCCAAAGTATGATTCTGACGAATACAAGCAAATTTAATTGTTTGTAGATTTTTAGATTGTCGTATTCTGTGATTATTGTGTTATATCATTTCAAATGAGTACTACAAACATAAAAATGCCTCAGTAGTTTTTGTACTTACCTAGCATAATAAATTGTGCAAGTACTATTTCGTCTTTTCTATAATTGTTTCGATTATTATTTGTCTCATGTATTGCGGTACAAAAATTGTGTCAAATTTATTTTTTATAAGTATTCTTTGAAAAAAAGTGATGGCAAAGTTAAGTTTTGGATTGTGTCAATATTATCTTACAATCTGCAAGAAAATAATAAGAAAACGACATATTGTCCAGATAAAATTCTACATTCCTCGAAGCGAAATTTGAAAAAAAAATGTGTTGACCCATTTCTGGTCAATAAAGCGTCGAATTGTCTTCAAATTATCTATCGAAACGTTATTATTGTTTATGCTTCATTAGACAAAATTGCTGTGTACTGTATCGGTGCAAAAAATGTCATCAATTTTTCCTGATTTGAATAATTTAGACAGTAATCGAGCGTCGTGGACAATAAACGTTTATGTGTATATATTTTTATTTCGTATCCGAAAATACACCAAAATGTTTTTGCACGGGTTCAACCTAATAAATATTGCAAAGTACCTGCCACTGGGTCTTTCTTAAAATTGTCTGCATTCTTTGTGATTGATGTGTTCTGTTTTGTCAATTCTTCCATTACTATAAACCTTTACCTGTCTTCTGTAGCTATCGAGAGAATGAATTCTTTTCAGTTGGAGTCGAAGGAAGATTTGCAAGATTAGCTTTAATATTTTTTAGTAGTCCTAAGAATAAAAATTAAATATTGGAGCAGTTTTAAAACTCATCTTGTGGGACTTCGATTTTTTGATTATACGTTTGATCTATACGTATATGCTTAACAGGCCTCCATTTAAAGTGTTTATAAATTATTACTTATTTATTAGTGTCACATCAACGAAAATGTAAAAATTGTAGTAGCATTAATTATTTCATTTGACCAAATTACTGCTGTTAAATAATTCACACTAATTGACTATCGTTGACAACGTAAATATCAGGCCATGTTCTACGTCAACAAACATATCGAGTTTGAAAATATACTTACACAAAATTTATATTGTCGGGAACAAAATCGAATTTGGAGTGTAGTATGCTTAGACAAAAAGAATAGAACTTTCGTTTGTTACTTTTCCGTTTGGGGGCGTAACAATGTTTTTGCATTCGTGGGAGTAGAAGTCGGTTTCTATGACCGCAAAATCGGGCGAGAAACAGAACATTTGCCCTCTAGGGAGAGAAATAGAATAATTGCTCCCTAGGGAGATAAATACATAAACAAGATTAATTCAGGAGGCAATAAGTTCAGTACAGCAGCTTCAGCAGCATCACGAATTTCTTGCAATAATTTGATCGAAACAAATCACAGTTATTGTTTTTTTATTGTCGTCATGACAGGATCCAAAGGCTATTATGATTACTATTTTATTAATCATAGCATCTTTTATCAGTTGAAAGACTGTAGGAATCTGCGCGAGTGCAAAAAATTGTATATACGCCTCAGGACCGAAATGCAAATTTTCCTTTGGGGCTTTGTAGTCCTTGGGCTTCGCCCTGTGGAAAAGTGCATATAGTAGCGAGTGGCAACTCCAATAAAAAATTTACATAAAATTTATTTAAAAAAAATCTATTTTCCACTTGTTACTTTGTTAAATTTACATTAAAAATCCAACAGGTAGCAATGTTAATAAAAGAAGTGGTAACAAAGTTAAATTTTAAATTGGATAAGTATTATCACGTATGTAGCGACAGCAGCCATAACCTACAAAGAAATAACGAGTCATAAATACATATTTATGTTCAAGTAAACGGCAGTTACTCACTGTATGCAAAAAGCTCCAATTTAAAGGAAAAAAACCGCGTGCACTCAACTCTAGCTTGGTGTTAAAAAGCTTTAAAACAATTAGTTGAAGATGTTGCATCTTATGATCAACGCTGGACGTCGAAACAAGCATATTCCAAGTATTGTGAACGTGGGTAACAGTATTATTTGCCTACAAATTGAAAATCTCAATCGACAAAAAACTATCCTAGACACTTACCTCGGTCTGAATTTTAGTCCAAATCCAAAGGTGGAAAAAAATCCACGTCCATTGCAAGAAAATCAACGGAAATTGACACACATAATATGCATATAGTTGATCTGGTAAGTGAAGGGTTAAGTATGAAACGTAGTAGATTTCATTAATGACTAAAGAAAACCATGAAAAAGTGTTCCAAAGCGTAGTAATTCCGAAAATACGATTAGCTTCATGTACAAGTTGAACTAGGTTGTAGTGAAGGTGTGAGATTTTTTCTAATGTTGTTATTATATCTTCGTTTGATTGATTTTTGGAAGTATGTGTTCTAGGCAAAAGTCTAAATACCTCTACTACTGTTGTGCTGTTTTTGCATCGATCGTTCAGCAATCGAAATTTTTGACGAATACCCTCTAAAATAAAATCTAGAAATATATTATCCAAACTGCTAACCAGTAGCGGAAGATAGAACATCATTTGGTATTCAAAGTCCGTTAGAATTCCGGTGTAGCTAACTAGAATTAGATTCAAGAAGACTAAAAACATGAAGACTACACAGTGATAATTTTTGCCTAGTTTTGATTGTGTTTTCACAGGAAACTCATTCATTTTTTGGATTAGCGCACCCAGATCGTTGCTTCTTGTGTAATACACTACCAAGTTAGTACACATCGTTATAAGAGTGATTACGTTGGTTATTCTATCTACGTATTGGCTAATATCAGTAAATTCCACATACACGTGGACGTCGAAAGTGTACAGTACTTTAATTATAATACCAAAATAGTAACACCAGAATGGAATTGGTGCGATTTTGAGAACCATTTTCCATTTCGTCTCGCTTTGTAAAATGCCAAAGGCTCGAAAAACGTATACCAACCAAGATGGAACGTCATTCAGCAACATTGCGACTGTCGACTACGATAACATCAAATATGTCTATTTATCTTATTGATCGTTCAATTAAAATAAGTGTGTTGTTTCAGACAATGGATGTGGATATAGATTTAGAAGAATACTCGGATCGTATCAGTGACTTTCTTCGTTCAAACTTGCGAGAAATAAAATCCCAGAATGCCAATTTGGAAACCTCCTTAAAACATCGCAAAGAGATATCTTCCCACCTTCGAGAACAAATCGCCCAAAGTACAACCAACGATACGATTTCCCTGGGGGATATTTGGAAGAAGATCGTCAACGGCAAGTACGTGCTGGGCGTGGAAATGAAGAACGACAGCGCAAAGTAAGTACCAAAATAAAGCAAATCTATATTTAAGGTGTAAGTAACACACTAACTATCACAATGTAACAGTGCTAATAGCCCAAAATTCATAATAACAAGTTAAAATCTTAACCCATACTAGTTATCACAATGTCAAAGTATTGCGAATGCTCATCGGTAGAGCTGCGGCATTGGATTATCTTTGTTCTGGGGGAAATCTTTAAGTGTGATCGCCGCTAAGAGAGTCGAAGGGTCATCGTCGGGTTGGCCCAGTTCCAAGTAGCCCTTGAGCGAGTAATTGAAAAGTTCGAAGTCGTATCTGGAAACGAAAATGACCATTAGCGCGCTAAAAAACGGCGGATGGGAAAACTTTCGATCGGATTTGCCTCGCGTGACTTATTCGAAATAAAAAGTTCGCGATTGAGTCGTAAAAATTGATGGCGGTTGTTCCAGACGGATAAACGCCACCTGATATGTCTTCTTAAAGTTTGTTTGATTTGATTCATGGAGCGACAACGGTTTTTTGTTGATTTTTCGAAACACCCGCATTCAGTACGTACCTATATATGTGGTAAAGTTGTAAAATTTGCGACCGCGTCAGTTGCGAGTAGTATTTTCGGATTTGCCGAGCTGTCGCCCCGTGCCCGGCGTTCCTCCATTGCGGCTCGACCAACCCTTCCAAGTGCGCCTTCTTGATCAGGTACTGTTGGTCTTCCTGCAACGTTTCTGTGTGCGCTATGATGTCAAAGTCGAACATGCACGGCGTGCAAAACTCCGTGATGGGAGTCCAGTGCATGTCCAAGTTTTGATTCTGCTTGACGCTGTCCAGAAGATATAGTACGAATTCCGGAAACGTAGGCCACTTTTCGGGCTTGAAACCCTTTTGATTCTATAAGAGACGTTTATACACTCATTCAACAAAAACATGTTTTTTTGCACCACGCTTACTTTTACTTTCGGTCGGTACTTGGATATGATCTCACTCCCGAGCTTCCTGTGGTACGTATGCGGCAGCGCGAACAGCAGCTTGTCTTTGTAGGCCGAAAGAAGTCGTTCGAACGGATGACGCGTGATCAAAAACGAGACGGAATTATTGAACGCCTTCCTCAAGATCTGAAGAGTGGGCCGGGGATACTTCTGCCTGGCGAGAACCAGCGGTACCACCTTGCTTTTCTTGAGGAACTTCGGGCTGTACCTGCACACAATAATTCTTGTGAAGCGTCGTCGAATCGTAAAAAGAGTCAAATTAAGCCTGAACTTGAACACGTCTGATTTAAACCAGTGATTCCTAAACTTGGTTTCAAAAGTGATTCCCTTCTAGCAAAAATTTTGTTGGCAATCTCCTTAACATTCTTTTACTTTTATCAAATTGTTAATGTTTTCGTTTAAATATTCCTCAGGGTCGAAGAGTAGTCATGTTTATGTTCCTCGATATGCAGTAAACTTGTTAAGTAAGTTGCTTAAGTGCTAAAGCATTTTTTGTTTGATACGTTGTTATTTACGTTCCGAAAGATGGAAATAGGTAAATGTCTTAGTGGCGTTTTTCTTTAATTTTGAAAATTTCGCACCCGTATTTTGGGAACCCTTGATTTAAATTGAAACACGTTACCCTGCCAAGATGTTGAAGTTGTACATCCACGAGGTACTCGCCGCCTTGAACACGTTGCACCAGACGAGGCGGTGCTTGACGTCGATGAGGAACTCCCAGGGGTCCGGTTTGTGCAGGGAGTCGTTCCCCGGGACGTTGAGGCCCAAGTACTTGCAGGCCTTCCGGAGGTGGAGGCGGCGTCTCTCCAGCCTCTTCTCGACGGCGGTCAGGTTGTGGAGGTTGGCTTCGTGGCGCTCCACGTGCTCGAACTGGAAAAACGTAATAGGTGACCTCTTTACTTATGATATGACGAATCAATCTATCGATTCAATGGGAACACAAACACGATGCGATATTTATGTTGGTTGTATCGAGATTTTTGGGGCCACGTTGCCGATGCTTATTGATCAGAAATGGGTTAAGTATCATGAGTGTAATGAATAATGATGAGCGTCCTTGAGCAAATTGTAGTGGAGTTTTTCTGATCTATTGTGGTGCGAATTAATTCGGCGCTTTTGCATGAAGGAAAATCGATACGGTGTGGCTGAATGCGGGCCATTAAGTGAATAGAGTGACGTACGGATGTTGCTGTTTATGTGGTGTAATTAAGCTTTCCTGTTGCATTGATGGGTTTGTTTCGAGTTTGGAGGAATGTGGGTGGCTGAGTGGAGAAATGGGACGGTGGACATGGTTCACGAAGGAAAACATTAAAAGCACATTACTTAACAAGGCGAACAAATTAGAGTTTTTTGAGATAAGAAAATCATTTTCGAATTTTGTTCAGTATTGTTTATTTCTTTGCTTTCATTAGTGGAAACAAAAAAAGTCCCGAGTGGAATAGGATTCTCGGCGTAGAAACTTTTCTAATGTATGTAATTTCGTTAAAACACGTCATAACTTTGGTAACTTTGTAACAATTTAGCTAAAGCTAAATAAATGATAAACTCGACCAGAGACTCTTACAGCTGCACAAAAATTTCAAACACAGTTTCGTTTTCGGCCCAAGGGAACACATAGATTGTTCAAAAGCATGGAAATTTGCATATTTGTATTTTAACGTTATTTATTTCAAATTACCCAAAACTAACAATTATAGCGGCTGTGTCGATGTATGTGCATGTTAGATAACAAAACAAGTCTGGAATTATCGCACTTTATGTCCGCGCATTGATAAAAACTATATTTAGTGCTTCACCACTTTCCATTCTTGGAAGTCTTCAATTTCCCTGCTTTTTGAAATCGTACTACTTTCGTAACTATAGTTTTATAATGATGTTTTAATACCTAACATTTGCACTGATTATCGCCTGTAAAGAACAAATGATGGAATATTAAATGAGGAAAATATTTATTTTCGAATCATGACCCTGAATCGTTATCGCTTGTTAAATAATATCACTTGTAATAATCGAAGCGTGTGACTAGAAGAGAGGGACACTTAGTTAATCATTGTTTCAACCAGATGTTAAAACCTGTTAAGGCACTTGTTTCTGGTCACTTCCGCCGTGTGATTGCAAAATCGGGTTTAGCTTAAAAGTTCCTGGTTTTAATTTTACACGTGGAGATGGAGTGGACTATTGCTGTTGATATGGATCGTCTTATACTGCTTTCAAAATGAAGATTACTTTCAAAAATTGAAGTTCGTGAATATTACTGTAGACTGTGGAACTGGTTTCTTCTGGTTAATAACTGTGTAGTAGAAACAATAAACTTGCGGCTTTATAATGGTTTGTTTTATGCACGTTTTTTAATGTTCTAACGAGAGTCGACTTTGAATTAGTTTTAAATGGTAGTGCAGGCGACACATTATTTGTTAATTTAACTACATAGTTTTATGGGTTTCTAGAGTTGTTTGTTTCAGTACTAACAAAATGTTTATATTTATTATTACTGAATAATTATGACTATCAATTTTTGATGTCGAAGTTCAGAGATATTTTTTTGTGTACGTGTGATAAGGAAGATATACAAACTTACTGATGTCCTCTTTTGAAAATAGAATTCGATCGAAAATAAACTTTTCTCTAATACTAAATAATATCTTCTACGGTGTATTTAAATTCAAAATACCATTTCAAAATCTGGGTCTTTTAAATCGTCGCTCCTTGATTACTCAGATTTAAACTTCGACCTCGCTTTTTAAACTGTCTATAAAACACTAGTTGTCTTAATAGCTATTCTATCATATATAAATTACGGTTAAGGCACGATTAAAAAATAAAAATAGGTCTTAAAATTAAGTGAACGTTTACCTCTTTTTTACGTTTAACGTTAGAAATTGTTCATAACTTTTAGACACTAAAAGGATATTTTTCACTGGGATTTGTTTTTTTATATATATCATTTTACTAAGTGAATTACGTGTCAAGTGGTATACATAGTAGAGAAGACAAGGATATTGAATTTAATGCACTTAAAAAATTCTATTCTATATGGAAAAAAGTTGATGTCGTTTCCAAAGTGATATAGGATAATTGTGTGCTCATTTTATGAATCCTTTGGTGTTATTTTACCCTTCCAACTTTCAAACTTTTCTCGTTTGAAATAACTAAGAGATTGGAAGAAAATGGAGAAACTGGAACACTTTGTGCTTTGAAAATGAGAAAGACAGTTTACGGCCGAGATGCACATAATTTTTTCAACGACTGATGTAAAATTAATGCGGTTTTGCAATTTTTGCACGTATAGCATTCTGGGCTAAAAATTGCATGGACAATAAAAACGAAAATTATTTTTCTTACTTTTCTTACATATTCTCACATGCTACGAAAAAAGGTTTTATGGAAATCTTAATATGTTGCTGAAAAACTAAATTTGAAACAAAAAAAAATCAACAGTAAAACCAGTAACATTTTAACTGTTATCGCAATACACGTGCATTATGTAATTTTTGTTTGTTTTTATTGGTTCGCCATCTACGGAATAAATTTCAAAGTATTAATTTCTAACTTTCAGAAATTATTCATCAAACAGAAAGACAGATTATTTTTATTATCATTTTTGTGTTTACATGACTAAGAATACTTGATTTTTCTTATGTTGTGTTTCTCAGAACGGCTTTTGGATTTTTGTTATTTTATAAATATTGACAAAAATATAGCAGAACATAGTAACAAAAATCACAAGAGAATGCTCCTTTTTTGTGGTTTAAGCGTTGTCATTTCTTGCTGAATATCAAATATTAGGGTTCGTCCTTATCGTGTGGTTTCCCGACTTCTTGTGGTAAACGTGTCTGTCTGTGTTATTAGATTTTAGAGAATCTTTTTTAGATGTCAAATAGTTTCCTAACCTAAACCGCGAGTATGCTAGAGGTAAAATAATTTAAGAATGGCACAGTATAAACATGTACAAAAGACGAGAACAAGACTGGACGAGTCCACCTTGAAAAATAAAGGAATAAGCTGATTACCGGACTTTATTTTTGTATGAAATTATATCAAAAACACTTTTGTATTCATCTGATATGTGTTTTTTATTTTGGGCACTATGTTGTTTGAACTAAATCAGCAGTTAAAGTACATATTTTGAAGCTAAGCTGTTAATACCATTGTGTTTATCTTGTAACTTTTCCTTTACGCTGTTTGTTATCAGTTGGAACTAATACCAAAAACAATTTAAAAATGTTAAAACAACATAACATAACAAGAATACGTAAAATTTTTAAGTAAATAATTATTATTAGTAGTTTCCATTTAAAAATGTTGTAAAAGCGAATTTGGGTAGGCCACTGTTCAGACTTTACATATCAATTGCCGCGCAGCATTTGATGACAATGCTATTCTCAAATTATTTCACTTCTAGTTGAATGGATTCTAATTTCATTGTTTGTTTCAATTGTTTCTTTAATCCTATCTAAAAAATGTTGTCCTTATCTTAGTCTTTGTGTAGCTCAGAAAGTCCGACTCAACACAAAACAGTTTCCAAAAGTTACCTGATTTGAAAAATGTAGTAGATAAATGAGAATACTATTTATTTAATTTTAACAGAAATGAAAAATAACATTAAATTGTGTTACACGTGAGGTAACGCATTGTTTTCAGGTCTCATGTGATTACACAACTGAGCTAGTGCCTCGTTATGAATACACTTTACACGCGTATGGCAATTGTGCTTTTATCTCATTTGTAATTATTTTAATTTCATATTTCTCATATAATTTGAATCTAAAATAATTTTTATCTGCCAGACATTTGTTTCTTAATGTGTAATTTTGTGTAAAACTTTATTTTTTCTAACTTTATTTTTTCTTAATTAATATGTACATTTTGCCATTATTTCTTTCGTACTGTAATAAGTCACTTAATCAATCGTGCCAGTTTCAACATAGTTTTCTCGTTTTTTTCGCCCTCGGCCCAACATATGTTCGAAAGTAAACTCGAACCAATTCGAAAAACAGGCGCCTCGTCACCACCCCCCGTCACCGGAACATCCCCCTCCCCCTCACTAACCTGCGGCCTGACGAACGCCGTCTGCCTCACCGGCCTCATGTAGCTGTCCGTGGTGACGATCAGCACCAGCAGCACCGGCACCACGCAGATGGTGGCGAAGAAGACGACGCACCTCCTCACCGCCCTCCACGCGCTCTCGTCCGCCCTCTTGCGCCTCCGCAGCCTCATCGTGTGGACGCGGCGCGCCGTCCCGCCATTCCACTACATCCACGCATCGGCGATCGAACAGGGGCTCGGATTCATGGGTTACCTAATGGAAGACTCTTGGTTGCGGTGGTGATTATGTCACTGGGTTGCGGGACCGTCTCTACGAGTCCGCTCGGCTCATGTCGGGACAAGCGCCGCTTTCTACCTGCTCCGGCGTGGACGTGCCGCTCGACCGCACTGCAGCACTGCCGAGTCCTGCTGGTCGATGGGTCGCGCCGATTCTGCGTGTCGGGGCGCCGCCGACGGGGGATGTTTAATGACCTGATTTAGGACTGCGGAATTGCGGATTTGCCGTGTTTCGGACGGGTGGCGGGAGGGGGCGGTCGCTGGAGGACCACTGTTTAATTGTGTACTTGTTTGTTTATTTATTTGTTGTCGTATTATGCAACGATGGGGCTATTTTGGGAGGTGGCTCTCTTATCAAGCAGTTCGAACTGGAACACTTTATAACGATTTTCCAGCAAGTCAGGCGATATTTGGGCATTCGTCGGATGTATTCGCATAGGGAGACTTGCATTCATGCGTCACGTGTTTAAAAATCATCCATAACGATGTATTATTGGTTGCATAAGCCGTACTCGTTTGCTTGTTACTATCGTTAATTACATCTTGCGGTTCCTAAAGTCTAGGTCGCGAACCCCTTGACGACAAGATTTTCAAAATAAAGAGAAAATACCATTAAGACATGTATTTTCATTTTTTTGGAACGCAAGATGCAGAAAAACAGTGTATACTTTGCTTAAAAGTGTCTAATAAGCGCTATAAATCGGGCCACTGTAGTGTTTATCAGGAAGGTCTGATTAGTTTATCCTACCTAATTCGTTTATTTCTTGCAGTGTTTTGGACAACTTCACGGTAACGCTCGTCTGGGATTCTTCGTCATCTCTTACTTACCAGTTCTATTTCCTTTCCAACGCGTCCACAGATTTCTTAAAACCTACTTCCCAAATCACTCATTCCGGTCAAATTATATTAATCCTTGACCTTCCCCTTTTCGTCGAGCAGCTGTTTTACACAATTTCGGGATCTATCGCTTTTCGGCTGAATGACAAAAAAATTAATCTAAAATTCCCAGCACATATTCAGTTGAGACCGCAGGACGTCACAGACAATGTTGTTGTAGTTCATTTGTATAAAGTAATCGACGGTACTATTAATGACATCCACGCACTAGCCTTTAGCAGCCAAAAACAAGAGTTTGTTGTGGTAATTCAAGAAAGATTGGGTCGTTCCTTGGAGGATATATTCGAAGCCGAATGCGCCTTACGCCAAATTAACTTAGAAACCCCAAAAAAATATTTTTTGGTGTATAAAATTAGTCCAGTACTTGATGGTGTATTGATCGAAGTTGAGGAGAGCTTGGGACGTGAGATGGTACTTAACACCTACTGCAAGTGAGTTTTTTTGTTTCTTGTGATACCAGTTAGAGGTACTATTGTAGGAACTCTGAGGTAACGGTCGCACTTCTTCATTACCTACATACCCATATTATCGGAGCAGTTATCATTCCAAAGTCACCGTATCAACCAGATTTAGGTCTCGAAGAGCTTACCCAACTCGCTCGAGATTCATTATCGAATGAAATCGAGAAGTTGAAGGAGTACAGAAGCGATTTAAGACAGTTGAGGAAGCAAATAGCAAGTTCGGAGCACCAAACTGACCTTCTAATGGTTTGCATCAATGAAAAACTTTCTAGTTAACACGAATATATTACTATATTGATAACAAAATATACATCATTTCTGTAACCGCTTAACCCCATCACCCCTAACCGTCCCACCACATGCAGTACGGCCCCCAAATCCCAACTTTATACAACACAGGTACGTGGAAGCTGCACGTTACGCCATCTGCAAATTCATATATACATGTGTTGACTCCTACGTCTACAATAAATATATCTATATATATAAAACATAAATACTACATAAAAAAATATTGCACGTGAATATTGCACGCGTTGCCTTAAGGTACTCGATTACATTGCACTTTAAACCTATCCTAAATTATTTGGCTGTAGCTGTCTTCACAGCAGTCAGTGTTGCCGACCTACCAACCTACTACTACCTAATATTGCACTTCCGGCCCGCTTAACCTATATCACACAGGACGTGAAGAGAGAGAAAATGGCGACTAAGAAAACTCACTAACTATAAGTATTTTGCTCAGCGGCTCCTTCATGCTGTCGACACCGCTGTCCATCGACCCGTAGGCGACACAACTTGGTTTGCGAAAACTCCCGAAGAATACCGAATGCGTTTCGACGCTCTCCGCCCCGGACTCGCTGTGCCCGTCCACGCTGTCTTCGCTGTCGCTCTTTGCCTTCGGGGAACCACTGGAATCGCTGAGATAGCCCGGATCCTCCTGTTTGCGCCACGTCGCGTCAGGAGTGCCAACCTTATCCACACCGCTGCTGGCACTCCTGCCAATCACGTTTTTTGGCGGTAGCGGCGGTTTGTCGTCGTCGGGAACGACCTTCCGGGGCGGCTTGGGCCTCTCATAGATGGGCGAAGCGTCGTGCGGTGGCGGCGGGATCAAGTCGGGGGGCACGACATTGGCGAGGCACGTGAGGCGGCGCTGGCGCTTGCAGTGGCGCTCCTCCAGAGTGAGCAACCGCCCATCGGCCTGCCTATTCCGCTTAGTTTTGGCCTCGTAGATCTCGCGAAGGCTGCCGAAGACGCGGTTGAAGTTACCGGCGCTGTGCGGCGGAGGCGGGGAGGGGTTTTTCTTGAAGCTGCCATTGCTGCGGAGGAGAATTCGCGACGGCCGTTCCAGCGAGTCGATGAACTCGTCGTCGAATTTCGAGTCGTTTTTGAACTTGAGTTTGGAGGGTTTGCGGTCCAAAGTGTCGGGTTCGAAGCCGTCGGAGTCGTGCACTGGGATGTAGTGGTCGGCACAGTCTTTCACTTCGATGAGGAGCTTCCCGGGTTTCTCGCCGTCTTCGTAGCGGACCTTCAGCGTGCGGCGCTCGAACGTCGAGCAATTAGAATCACTAGGAGAGGAAGGGGCGCTGCCGTAGTTGTAACCGTTGTTCACGTATACCTCGCTAACGAGACTGTAACCGTTGCTGCGTTGCAGTAGCTCTGGTAGTTTGTAAAAGTTCTGTTTTTTCAGCGACCCCTTCTTCAACACGATGAGTTCGTAGTCATGTTCGTCGTCGCGGGCGTCTGGGTCGAGTTTAGCTACGGTCATGTTACCGGGATTCTTGTTAAGTACAGCGTTCCGTATCGTCATTTCTTCGTCCATCGGTAAAGCGGCGCTCAAGCTGGGGCTCGGTTGCGAGGATAACTCTCCGTATTCCGTCGGAGTGCTGAAGCCTTGATTTGCCGCTGATCGCTCGAGACTGTCGGTCTCGTAGTCTATCCTTCGTTTCGACGATTCGGGACTAGAATCCGTTCCGATACCTCTCTGCGTTGTCAGTTCTTCGATCACCGCCTTCATTTGCTTCTTCGTGAGAGTGGGTATCCGCACCTGTTGGAAATATGTTTAGTGTTGTCTGCAATTTACCCTTCTAATTTTACTCGTTATCTTAGTACTAGTACCTCTTCCTGATCATGAATGATATCCGGCGGCGGAAAACTAATATCCCCTTTCGAGCTCTTCTCCGTCGGAACCGAATCGTACTGGTGCTCGTCGACTGGAACCGGTAGCGACGTGTCCGGTTTGTAAATCCTTCGACTCTTCTCGCTTAGAGGAGATCCTCCTCTTTCCGAGACCGCTCTCGGCGACAAGGCTCTCACCGCCGGAGAACCACTATCAGGAAGCGACCTTGCTGGAGACCTCAGCCTTTTGGGGGCTCTTCCGTACACCTCTTCAACCTCTTGCTTTAAAATCGGCACATCCTCCAACCACTTCCGGATACTTCGTTGCTTGCTGTCGGTGGTACTGCAGGTCTGACAGGGCCCGATGGTCGTCAGTTCGTGGAGTTTTCCGCAAAGTTGGGGCAAACTTTGCGGCTCACATCCCGGACAACCGGTGCACGTTTTCCTCCTGCTGTTCTCGCGTTTGAGGCTGATGACGCTGCTGCGTCGACTCATCGTGGGTTTGGGGTTGTCATAGACGGAATCGACGCCGTAGCTGTTTTCTTCCTCGGGGATGCCCATGAGGCTCGGCGAGAATTTCTTTGTCGCCATTTTTTGTTTGGCGATGGTGATGACTTCGCGGATTTTGGCGAGAAATTCGAGAGCGGCTGGGGGCGGCGCCTAGAAAAAAAAACACAAATGATAAATTGAAGTGGTAGGTAATAGGTGAATGTTCGTACCAATAACAGCTGTGGTTCAAAGTAGGCTGGATTGAAGTAGAGTTTCCTCCGTACGGTTCCTGTAAGAGCTTTTAGAGAGTCTATGCGTTCGTCGCGTCCTTCCAGTGTCTCTACGATTGAAACGTTCTCTTCCGGAAGCTTCTCGATCGAAGACGTGTCCTGATGGACGGCTTCCAAGTACGTACTAGGGAGATAATTCTGCACCCGCTGGTACTGCGAGTGGATCAGAGCTGTGACCTGTGCTTTGTTCTTTTTCTCGTCGCCGTGCTGCACCACGTCCGGTACCTCAGCATCAGAGCTCGTCGAATCACTGTATAGAGCATCCGGTGCTTGAAAATGCGCCATGCTTAATAAGGGGTTGTTTTTCACCACCCCTTCTTCCGCATTCGTCAGATTCTGACTCTCGGACTTCCGCGAAGACTCCTTGTTCCTTTTCCTCAAGTGTACGTAAAGAAAAACCGACGCCACGTAGATGAGCCCGAGCAACACGCTACATGTTCCAATAGCGACGTACTCGGACACGCTTAACCTGTTCGAACTTCCATTTGAGGAGTGCGCATCTGTAGAGAAAGCCACCTCGCTGACGTCTGCAAAAATTTAAATTGTACTTCCACGTAAAATCGAAAAATGGCATCGACGAGGGCTCGTCCCGCACCTGCTCTGTCGTCCCAAATGCATTTACTTACTGCTGAGGTATTTAGTTGGCGAGCCCACGACTCGGAAAGCGACGCAAGGCGAGAAAAGCGTGTACCCCGTGGGTGTGAGAGGCTCTGCCGTGGCCAGTTCCCGGCACATGAGGTAGACGAGTACGAGTCTTCCGGACATCTTGGTACGGAGGTCTGACTCGCCGACCCACTGGAAAATAGCTGGATGAGTACGGAGAAGTTGGGGGTTGCGTAGGTACCTGTAGAAAAGTGCGGCCCTCATCGCGGAAGAGCCGGAACGGGACGTCGGTGTCGATGGGATTGCGAAGGTCCACCCAGCCGGATTCGGTGAGGAATTTGGCTCCGGAAACGGCGCACACCGGCGTTTGGATACCTGGAAATGATAGTTAATCACTAGGTGTGACGGGCAAAGGCAGAGGAATTGCCTTTTTTAATCAGAAATCTCGACCAAGAGAAGAACATTATTAACAGAGCGCTGAGAAAAACAGGAGAAAATTTTGATTTATAATGAGGAACTCTCTAGACAATTAAATTTTAACATTAAACACAAAATTTGTTATGCAGTCTGGTTTGTAAGCAGAGCTAAATGGATAAGACATGTTAGTTGCAGGATATTAAGATGGTAATTTGAAAATATTATAAGAAGATGAAAGTGTTAAAAAATGTACATAAATGCGATATTGCATGAGAAGTTGATCTAGTTTCTAGTGCAAACTGGGGAGACTACTCAGCGTGTAACTCTAGAAAAAATCTATCAGTCTTTTTCTGCAAGAACTGTTAAACTCAAACTTAGAATAATAACTCGTTTAATTAAAAAGAAACTGTTAATAATCGCACAAAGTGCGAGTGTATCCAATCAATTCTTCCCAATTTCGCAAATTGCGCCGCATTTACTCGAACCAACTAATTGCCCTCACGTCTAACAGTTTGCTCGCTAATTGCCCATCGACCCCACTATTGACAAAGCTCTTTCGCTCGTCCATTACGGTCACATTACCATTCCCAGAAAAATTCCCAGAAAGCAAAAATCCGGGTTAGTGGAGTCGACACTTGTTCTCTTCATTACTTCCAACCGCCCGACGACAGTTACACAGGCACAGTTCCGAGCTCGTGCGGGCTCAATTTCGTGGCGTTAATTGCGATCCATCAGAATTCGTTGTCTTGTTGACGCTACCACCGCGAACTGGAGCGGCAAGAGGCAAATTGGCGTGTCGCCTATTCATCTCAAACTTTTGGCTATTTGGGTTAGTAAAATTGGTCGAGAAAGTGCAATCGGGGAGAGTTCGATGGCGTTTTTCTTCCTTTTTTTCTAGAAAAGGCGTTTTTCTTGCGTGGAATCTGCTTGGAAATGCACACACGTGTGGAGCAATGCGAGAGTTGGTTTTTCTCGTAAAGCTGGATAATTAATTCGAGTATTTATATACGACGTGCTGCTAATTAATTTGTGAAACTAACGCGAGGACGAATATGGGAAATGGTATTTTTCATTTTTGCTTTCGTTGGAACTGATAAGCAGTCGGAATGTTCTTGATTGATGGGTCGGTTACGAGAAGAAGCGACCGAGCGAGAGGTGGAGGTTTTTGTTTAGATTTATCGTGTTTTATGTAGGGTTGAGGAAAAACGAAACATGTGGGAAGTTAAAGAAGTCTGACACACATCGGTGTCCTACTTGTTTCTCTATCAGGTGACTGGGATGTATGTAGATTAAAGAAATCTGCGAACGCATTAAGGACTACGTATGTTGAAGATGGGCTGAATAAAAATTTCATTTAAAGATGTGGTAAAATAAAAATGGAAATTTGTTTTATAATAATTGCTTCATAAATAATATAAAAATAATTAAAAGTGAATTTGTTCAAGCTCTACATATCAACTCACTATAGTATGCTCAAATTATTTTATCTTTATCTTAAGAAAAACTACATACCCTTTTGACTAGTTTCATAGTTTCTTGAAGACAGTTATCTATTGCGTATCTATTACTTAACAAAATGTTAGTTAATGCACTGTAGTCGGCAGTTTGTAAATCCGAGTGACGTAAGGGCTTTCCCTCGGAAAACCTCTGTTGCTACTGGACAATACTGTTATTTAATCAGTAATATTATACGCAGTACTATTAATCAAACCATCTTTCTTTATTAAGCCATATTAAACGCCTGTCTGGAATCCTAACTGTACCGTCCAAAATCCTCGATGACTCACTCATGAATTTTCAAAAAGCCATTAACTAACCACTTTACACAAATCTCCGATTCAATCTCTTTAGGGTCACACGCATTGACACCAAGCTACAAATTAAGTTTTTACGTTTGCGCCTATTTGCATTTTTTACAACACAATCTACTACATTCCCATACCTTCCTAATTAATTCGATTAGAGTGAACGTAACTTGAATCGCATCTCCAATCCAACTTATAATTAGTCAAAAAACAAGCAAAAAAAACACTCGTTTCGTGATACACTCTTCTTTTGAACGTATTTCCCTAGAGACCCACTAAACTGGCCATAAACTACCATTCCAAACAAATACCAGTTTCGCGGTAAATTAACCTTCGAAATCCGGTTGACAGCCGGATTTGCTCATCGTCGAGAACCATCCAAGGCCCGGAAGGCGAAAATATTACGAGGGAAATGGATACCCGGAAGAGTGCTTCTTGCGGATGGTTGTAGGCACGTGCGCGATCATTACCATCATTACCACGATGATCGGCCGGATGTTACGGTTAGTGGGAATTATGAATTGTAAAATTTATTCTCGCTGCTGTTATTTGATGGTTAATTGCTGGGGGTACTCACCTGAGAAGCTGATCTCCTTGCTGGGGTGGATGATTTGGCCTTTGAGGGGGAGGAACACGAAAGGGATGGCCTGGGAGGTGGAGCCGCCAACGAACGGAGCCAGGAGGCACTCTGAAAAAGACAAAGTATGTAACGAATAGGAATCTTTGGTTTCAGTGTGCAGATGTCGTTCCATTAACATAACTGTTAATACCAAATAATGAACCAAAAATCTTTTGTAACTAGCGATAACTGTGATCGCAACATTTGTTATAATGTAAGGAATTAATTGTAATTTACTCTTTAATATAAGTAGCGTAGCTGACTACACGCATTCACGCGCGAAATCTTAGCATTAAAATTTTTGTTTTTGTACAGATTCCTTTCAATAATTTGTCTAACACCCGCATTTCCACTTCCGCGCCTTGAACCACTTCTCCCAATCCCAGTTTCCCGTCTCGCTTGCACATACATTAGAAACTCGGTACCATTTATGGGTCATAGGTCAGCATGTCGGTTGACCGTTACCAGATCTACTCCTCCTCTGCCTCTCACCTCCTACACTCGGCCAAATCTTTAATTATCCCAACCATCATTGCCTGCGTTGATTTGGTTTACCGGTACCGGTAGTACCATCGCAAGCCTCCACAGATTGTCCCTGCGCCAAGGCCAAGCGGATGATTTTCAACTACTGCTATTAAATATAAAGTTGCTGTAACGCAATCTGTCCCATCAACCATATGGTGTAAAGTCCCAGCATGCCATCAATTGAACCCATAATACCATCGCGGTTTATTATGTTCGAATTTGTTTTTCACGGCAACGACGGCAGATGCTACGGCCGTTATAGCAGCATTTGGTTCGATGAACTGGCTTTGTCGCTTGGATGTACTTCTGCGGATGACGTTTTCGCGAAATCGGTTGCGGTTTGATTTTTGACGTCGGGCGCTTATTTGTAAATGTTGACACTGTGTCTGTTTTCGGAATGAGGAGAAGAAGAAGGAGTAGAATTTTGGCGATATAGCACCTCAGAAAAAAATTTGCAAAAGATGAATATTAAATGCTGAGTGTTGATAAATTGGCTTTAAAGCAAGGTAGTGCGTAAGTGATTATTATGAATAGTGAAAGAGGGGTCAATTTGTCTTAACTTAGATTTTCCCTCGTTCTAGAAACTCCATCGCTTTTTATCTTCATAGAAAAATTAATGCTAATTGAAAACATCAATCTCTGCCTTACAGCCGACAAAAACTTTTTCTTCTCACCAACTTTCCTCCTATGAAAGAAAACCACAAAAACCAGCTAACCTCAGCTCCGGTCATTTTTTCGTTCCGGAATTCTGAGTGGATCACCGTTGTCCGGTTAATTCAAAATTTAATTAGCTCAAGATTGATTATGAAAACGTACCCATCGTCGAGATTTACAATGATTAAACAAGATTTTATTCTAGATTAGTACAAGATTAGACAAAACCTACAAAGAACTAAACAGCCTCTTTTCATTAGGAAGCCGTTCCGTTGAGAGAGTGCCAAGGCAATAAATCATCGTTCTCTATTCAAATCTCGCCGTATCGCCACAAACACCATAAATCATGGCATTGTTTAAAGATCGAGCGAAATCATTAACAGCTAGGCCCCACACCTTGTCAAAAAAAAGAAAAGGCTACGAATTTCCTAATTTATTAGCGGTATTAAGACTTTAATTGAACGAGATCCACACGAACAGATGGTCGAAGTTAAATTCGTAATAAAATTTTACGAAGAAAGTTGTTTAATATTCATATGCGTTTACCTCTTACTCGGTGTGACGCTAGTTTGAACTGTTTTTTGTTGGACGCTAATTTTAAGAGTCCTTTGAAAACCACCTCATAACGTTGCGTGTAATCTCCTTCTGTCCCCGTACGCTGAGCAAATATGGAAAACGAATCGAAGCGAATTGAATTGAGTAGATCCCGTACTGAGCGAGACGTTGTATGCACAAAGCTACATATAAATCAAAGTAAAATACAAATAGTATTTGCATGGCTTCGTGTAAAATTAGCATGTTTATTTACTACTTTTTGAAGTTCTAAGCATTCAAATAGAGTTTATGACGTCACGCGGTCCGGTAATTACCAGACAAGCGCATACATTAAGATAATAATCCATAAAAAACGGTTCGCCAAATTTTAATGTCCCACTTTACGCTATTAATCCCATATCATTAATAATGTATGAATGAAAATTAATTAAACCGAGACTTTACTTCTTGCGGATGTTAATCGATTTACTCGAGGCTAGAGTTTTTCGCGTCGCTAATCGACGCAAATAGAAATGAAGATTTATGTAGTTGGTGTCAGTGGGTGAGGATTTTTTTTTTTGATTGATTACATGTAAAACGTGCTTTATTTCTCGGAATGGCACCAAGTTGACGAGTTCACGATGCGGCCAGCAAAAGCGCCCGATTCGGTGCCGATCGAAGGTGTGGATTGCGGCAGGTGTTGAACTTGACTTTCGCAAAGATTGGACTAGACGGAAATATTTCCAGGGTCGCCCAGGGCTCGAACGTAGCAGATGGACCTGGACGGGGTTTTCAAGTTTATTAATTTGTATGCTAAACGAAGTGAAGTGTGGAAGTGAAAGTTGATGATTGTTGTGGCTGTGGTTAATTAAGTTATTAAATTTAAGATGAATTTTAATAGGAGCGATGTTTTGTATTGAGATGTGGAGCATTTTTTCTTTTCAATAAACGAACTGTCAGTCTGTAATTCAAAGAGAAATTTTACGAAACACGCTACAGTTTGCTAAAAAATAGCCGAAGTATGTTTGAAAACCCCGCTTTCCTAGCGCCCGTATTTTTCAAGTGAAAACTGTTTGAAGTGGCGGGAGATTTGCTCGCGGCGTTATGGTGAAACTAAAATTATTATTATACATCTATTTTTTCTGCTCTCTCCGAATACGTAATAATACAGTTGATTCAGAATTTTGAACAACCACTAAATAGCAACTTTATATCTTGTTGAGGAAATTATAAAATGTCAGAAGTGCAGTAGAACTCGCTGCAAAAATTAAAAAGTGAAAAGTGTTTAAGAAGAAAGTTATCTAAAGATCGGGGCACATTTGATAGCCAAGACCTTTAGTGATTGGAAAATCACAAAATCACAAATCGTAAAACGGTTACCAAACTTTGTCTGCTCATCCCCAACACCAATTTGATGTCATCACCTGCAGATGGTTAGAGTAGGGCGAAGCAATAACATGACACCCATTTTTACAATAAATAGCACTTTTTCAGTGAGTTTTTTTATAATGTCAATTCGATTTTAGCGACAACATCACCATTGTAACCGAGTTTTAGTGTGCTTTGGAAATTTTTACTTTCTCCAGGTTTTTCCGATTTTGCGCCACCTCTCCCACGAACCGCGGCATTCCGAATCCATAACCCGACGACACACCGTCCGATCCTGTTATGTGAAACAATCCCAGCGCGGATGATAGCTGAGTGGCCCCGGAAAAATTAGTTTCAATTATGTACGCTCACGATCGGCATTATATTCAAATATCGCTGCTGAGAATGTGCATTTTAGTACAGAACGTACAGTACATCCAACTGTTAGCTGCAAAATTACACACCTCATACCACGTTTGATTATTCGTCCGATCGATGCGACGCCTAGCGCCGCACATAAATCCCATTTTATGGTCGTGACGAGTGTTCGCGTGCTGAAAGGGCGCTACGGCTATCGGCCGCCCTTGGTCGGGGCCTCACGCGTCGCAGTCGCTTATGCCGACTATATCTGTCGGAGCGATAACGGGGCTCCGCATGCGATGAAAATATCATCATTTTTATTGAGCAGGTTGTCGCAGGCGCAACGGTTGTAATGAACCGCGACTAATCACATAACAGATGGGTAACTCGCATATTTACGATTCTCAACAAATCCGATCGTTTACGTACGTTTGCAAACAGAAAACCATGTAATTGCTTCCGAATGGATGACGTGCTCGTTAGACACATGCCGCCGTTTCTCACATTCGAGCCATTTTTCCACGCTCGGGTGCTGAACGGGGAATTTTCGGTATTTTAGGTATTGGGGAGATGTGGAGCGGCAGTTTTCTCGGTGACGAGAGAACTGGTTGTTGGGATTTTTTCACAAACGTTAAAAAGTATTTAGAAACTAGTGTACATCGGTTATTAGTTCTTACTCTTAGACTAGGAAAAAATAGAAAGTTGCATTTTTATTAATGTTTATCAACACAACAAAAGAAAATTGAGAAAAAATTACAAGCGACGAGTGAGTTTTTAACAATTGCTGGAATATGTAGTCATTCTAGAAATTTAGAAATATTATAAATAGTTTGAATAATCATCTCTACTTTCTGAGTGTGAAGTAGGAAAATTTTGTAATAGGGTCAGTTTGACAAACGACTAAACGGACAGACTCTCATCTGATAAAAGACTTGTCTCATTGATTTGCAATTTACTCGTAAATAACTGCACCTGGACGACGGCGACGTTTGGAAATGTAGTCATCAATTTTTGCTGGGAACGGATGTACAGCTTTCAAATTGCTATGCCTTCTAAAATCGTAACTAAATTTTAATCGTTTTATTTTTTAAAAACTGAATTCAGTCGATTTCGGCACTCGAACTGTGCCTATTGGAATAGGGTCCATCAGGCGCTGGCTATTCTCGACGTTTTGTGACACCTAGAGTACGAAAAAAACAGATCTCTCATTCTGTCTGTCTGTCTGCCTTCTGTGTCATATTTACTTTCCTAGCGTAAGCTAAGGAAGTATAATATTAGTAGCCGACTCCATCCGACGAATGGCCATTTTTGTATTTTCTCGACGTTTCATGGCCGAAAAAAAGTCGTCTGCCGTTTGCATCTGTCTGTTTGTGTGTCTGGTGTCTCTGTCTATTTTTATCAGACACGTAATATCCGAAACTGCTGGACCAATTGTTGTAAAATTTTGTATGTACAGTAGAAAGATCATATAGATGGTTTTGCTAATCATCTCCCCAACAACAATTTGATGACGTCATTTCAAAGAATTCTATGTTTATTTGATTTAACTCTTATACGTGTGGTGTACGAATCGGCTTTTAGTTTTTTCCCTAGCCGTCCAAATTTTCACAAAAATATATGCACAGCAT